GTATTTTGTGTTTATCATCTCCTTTTATTCTCTGTCATTTTAACCACATATGGACATTATATATATTATTTGAATGCTATATGAATACTATCATATGTAGATAATCTTTGGCAATTTGCATTTGTTGTTCACCATGTTCATGAGATCTATCTTTGCTGGCTTATGTAGTTGTGGTTCATTTTCACTGTCATAGTTTTCCATTGATTGAGTATAATACAATTAATTTACCCATCCTCCTGTAGATGGCATTTGAGTTGTTACCAGGATTTGGCTATGACAATTTGTACTGCTATGAACTTCCTTGAGCAGGTCTCTTTGTGCAATTGTGCACAAGTTTCTGTGGAGTGTATACCTTGAAGAGGTAAATTCCATTTTACAAGTTCATGCCAAATTATTTCCCAACTTGGCTTCCAAAGTGGTTGCACTAATTTTTGCTTCCACCAACACTACCAAGTGTTCCTCCTGCTCCTTCAAACACTTGATGTGATCACACTTAGATTTTTGTTCATTTGGTGGGTGTGTACATTTACCTTTTCCCGATTAGTAATGAGGTTGAGCTTCTTTTAATAGGTTTATTGGTGATTCTTCTTCTGTAAAATGGTTGTTTATATATTTTGACCATTTTTCTATTTTCCATTTATTTGTCTTCTTACTGATTTTTTTGAGTTCTTGATTCTGGACAGCAATCCTTCTTTGATTAATTTGTTGTAAACATCTTTTCCCAGTCTATAGTTTGTCTTGTCACTGTCTTCGTGATGTCTTTCAATGAGTACATGTTCTTAATTTTAAAGTAGTTAGATTTACCAATCTTTTATTTTATACTGTGCGCTTTTCGTTTTAAGAAAACTCTTTCTATTCCGAAAATGTCATAAAACTATTCTCCTTCATTTTCTTCCATAAGTTTGAAAGATTTGTCTTTCACGTTTAGGTTTTTTGTTTACCTAAAATCGATTTTTGTGTATGGTCTGAGGTAGAAATCTAATTTAAACATTTTTATAATATAGTAGCGAGGTTGAGAAGCTCTGGTTTAGAGCATACGGTGACTGGGTCCGACTTTTGGGTAAATAGGATCACTCTGGTAATTGCATTAGTTTCCTATTGCCTCTGTAACCAATTACCACCAATCTAGCGCCTTAAGACAACACAAATTTATTATCTTATAGTTCTGGAAGTTAGAACTGGGTTTCACTGGGCTAAAATCAAGGTGTCAGCAGGCTGCGTCCCATCTGGAGGCTCTAGGAAAGTTGTTTCTTCTTCTCCTTTTCCAGCTTGTAGAGGCTGCCCACTAGGGCCTCCTTTCATATTCAAAGCCAGCAACGGCCAGATACTCTCCCTACCTTAAAATCCTTAGATCAGTCACGTCTTCAAAGTCCCTTTTGCCAGGTAAGGTAACACAGTCACAGATTCAGGGGATTAGGATGGGCATCTTTGGGAGAGCACTATTCTGCCTCTCACAATAATCAATTGATCCAGCACAATTTGTTAAATCTTTTCTGAACCTGGGTACAGGGGGAACACTGGTCTGGTGGTAATGATAATAATAGAAAACACTGAACACTTGCTAGATGCCAGGTATTTCCTCTAAGCATTGTATGTACATTATCTCATTTAATTCTTACAACAAGACTTTGTGCTAAGTACTACTGTTATTCCTGTCTTGAGTTGAGTAAAGAGAGGTTAAGTACCTTGCCCACTGTAGGAAGTAGCAGGGCTAGGATTCAAACCCAAGCAGGTGGGCTCCAAAGTCCATGCACTTAACCACTATGCTGCTGTTGAATGAACAAATGAAATGAATAAATCTAGCTTCCCTTAGCTGTGTCCTCAAGCCTAAGTCACATAACTTCTCTGAGCCTCAGTTTCATTACCTGTAAAATTGCAATAGTGGTGCAATTCTTCTGTACTTCACAGGGCTGCTTCAAGGGCACAAGGAGACAAGTTGCAAAAAAGCACTTCAGATGTGGAAAATAGGGCTCGTTGTTCCACTGCATATCACTGGCGGAGCCAGGACTGGGCCTCAGGTTTCCTGGCAGCCAGGCTGGGGTGGGCTATTTCCACCACAGGCTGGTAACTATAGCAGTAACAGATGCCAGTCATCAAACTGAACATTTTCCCTTCATCAACCTCCTGGCCTGTAACAGCCAACATCAGAGCTACATCTGTGTATTCAATCAATTGCTCATTAAGAATGTCATCAAGTCTCAAATGATGCTGTTACAAAATCCAAATATGAAATAATACTTCTTAGCTGAAACAGGGTAAAGTTTACAAGTATTATTTAGTATCTGTTACAAATGAAGGGGAAAAGGAGAATTCTGGAAATTGACATAAAGGGTAGGCTGCAAGGTATTTGCTAGGGAAAACCACCTCTCCCACATCTTTGCCTCTTCTCCATCCTCATCCCAGCAAGATCCACCCCTTTCGATTTTCCCTTCACACCTCCTTAGTGGAGCAGAGATCAGAAAGCCTGAATTTCAGCTTTGAGGTGACCCACGACTCTTTTTGCTTTGAACTCGAAGGCAATATGGGAAAAAAGAGAGCAAGAAGTGGGAAGATTCACTCTACCAGATATTAGGACATATAACAAAGCCGTAGCAATTAAATCAGCTCAGCCCTGATTCAGAAACAGACAGGTCTAGATCAATAGAACAGCAATGAGAGCCCAGAAACAGAGACGTGTGTCTGTGCAGACTTGACATAGGATACAGACGCCATGACACATCGGTGGGGAAAAGATGGATTGTTTGGTGGGTACTGCTGAGAAAACTGGCTTACTACGTAGAGAAAATAGTATTGTATTCCTACATGCACTATACGCGAGGTGAACTCTGGATGAATTAAGACCTAACTGTGATAGGTAAAAGTATGAAGCTAAATAGGGGAAAACAATAGGAGAATATTTTGTGATCATGGGAAGGAAAAGATCCTTCAACGAGACCCAAAAAGCACACTCCACAAGGGTAAAATTTGATGCATTTGGCTAAATCAAAATTAAGGATTTCCCCTACACTGTAGCATAGTGAAGACCAAGCTAACAGGATGCATGAAAGATTGGGAGATATTTGCAATGTCCAAGACTGACAAGAGACTAATATTTAGAATATATATGAACCCCTTCAATTCATTCAGAAAAATAACAGGAAATCTAGGAGAAAAATAGGCAAAGGATGTAAATAGATAATTCTTGGAAGGAAAAAATCTCCATGGTTAAGTATAGGGAAAAATGGTTAACATCACTAAACATTGAAGAAATACAAATGAAAATTACAGCATGATACTACTTTATCGATATCAGGTTGATAAAAATTAGGACATCAGATAATACCAAATGTTAGCCTATAGAGTGGGGAAACAGGAATCTTTGTATCTTCATGTGCCATTGGTGGGAGTGCAAATTGGCAAAGCCATTCTGGAGGGCCACATGGCAGAGTGAAACCAGGCACTGTGGACTTCGTGACCCAGCAATTCCGTTTCTTTCTTATGGTCCATAAGAGACACGTCTAATACTCATTCCAGCATTGTCTGTGGCAACGAGGAACTGCTGGCAACCTAACTGTCCATTATTTAAGGAATTGATAAGTCAAATGTGTTAGATGCACAAATCGAATACTATCAGTGGTCAGCATTAATGAACTCCTAGTATATACAGTCTCATGGGTAGATTTCTAAGGCATTATGTTGAGCGAAAAACAGGAAACAGAGTGAGTTCCTATCACAATAGCATTCATGTATATTAAAAATAGACAAACTAAAAACAGTATCTTTCCAGGATATATACACGTACTGGGACATATCTTAAACACAATGAGAGAGGGTGCAAATGGAGGGTAAAGAAATGGGAGTGTGGAGAGAGAATGAGTGGAAAATAAAAAAAAAAAAAAAAAGAGAGAGGACTTGCTGAATCTTACGAGCTCAAGAGTATATCAACATAACTCTTGTCCCTGAGCTCCAAAAACTCGCCCAAATCCCCTTCCACCGCTTCCTCTTCTTAACAGAATCAAAAGCAAAGAACCCAACGTGGCTGCCCAGAACAGAGCCTTTCTCCATAAGGGCCCCGCCTCTTTCCCACCCACCTCGCCAAGCACTCGCTTCCAGCACTCCGAGCTCTACTCTTACCGCACGTCTCACAATCAGAACACGCCCAGGCTTCAATCCAAAATGACCTTACTCTTATTATCTCTCTCGGAAAAGTCTTACTGATCACTTAAGATTCAGTTTAAGTATTTCCCCTCCAGGAGTCCTTTTCTGACCCCTGCCCTGCCCCAAATGCGAGCCCCTCCAGGACTGGATTCCCACACCCTCCATCCTCCATCCTCCGCCCCGCCCCCGGCACACACCAGGTTGTAACTGTTTATTTTGGGTATACACCCCTCCCCCAGGGCTGGAGCTGAGCTAGGCTGGTCTCTGCGACAGCAGCTGTCGGGCTGGGGTGGGCAGTCCCACGAATAACTGGAAAGTTATTGTACCGGGTTAAACAAGACCACAGCCCACTCCGTCTCCTTTGCTTTCTCTCTCATTGGCTCAGTCTCTCCGCCCCCGACCCCCGCCCCCAGCCCGCCTCCACCGGCTGCGGGAGGTAGAAGGCTCTGCGCAGGCGCCGCAGGGTGGGGCGCACTCTGCCGGGGGCGGGGCGAGTGGGACTTGAGGGCGGAGAGGGGCGGGGACAGAGGGGCGATGGGGGCCGCCGCGACGTTGCGCGGCAGTTGCGTCCGGCCCGCGTGCGCGCGGCGCCCGGGAGGGGGCGGGGCTGAGGTGGGC